ATTTCTCCCCATTTTTCAATAGATTTTCGGACAGCATAGGGCAGCAATTAAATGGACAAAATTCAGCAACCAATTGATGAAATTTCGGGCTTGGAAGAGCTATCAACATACCAGAATTTTGCAAGCAAAAACTGGAGCTGCAAGCTATGGGAAGGCCGGCGGCAATTTGGGGGGAAATCAAGAAATCTACTGAAAATTGGGAGAACCAAGAGGATTTAGAGTAAACCCAAGGCAAATCAAAGCTAAAGAGATGATTTCATGGTGGTTCCCTTACCAGAAAACGGGAAAAATCCCCACCCTCACCAAGCTGGAACCGGCAGTAGGGGAGGAAGAACAGAGCAGATCTGGAATTTCTGGGTTGAGAGAGAGAGTTCTAAGTCCTAAAAATTGTTATTGAGCAAGAAAGAAGGAGAAATTTCAAGCTTCTTACCGATTTTTCTTCAAGGGAGGGCTATTGTCGGGCTTGCTTCTTGTTCGGCTGCAGAGGGGGTCGGGAAGAGCAGAATCGGGCTGAAGAAGAAAGAGGAGAAGGAGAAAAAAATCAGTCATCCTTATCCAAATTCTTTCCTCTTTTAAGTCCCTCAAGTTTCAAAATGTTGGCTATTAAGCCCAAAACAATATTTTCTCACACAAAGGTCCCCAACTTAGATGCTAGAATTCCCGAAAATTTGGGATTTTACATTTACCCCTCCTAAAAAGGAGTTTTGTCCCCAAAACTCAAATTGAGGATCATCTAGAGTAGCAAATGGCTTTACACAAGCCAAGACAAAACAAATGCCTCACCAACTCTTTATGATCAGAACCTAACCTACTACGCTTTCGCTGTGCCACTCTGATATCAAACCACAACTAATGATAAAAGCAAAACATTAACTACTTATTCGGATTTACCATGAAACAAGCTACTGGAGGTTGGGGTGACATGGGAAGCACAAGGAATAAAAATAAATCCTGCCAAGCCACAAAAGAACAATTGTGGGGTTCCGCTATGAACCTAACACAAAGATGAGTTGGCAAAGAATGACATGGATTTAAAGACGACTACAACAAAATTTTGAACTCTATCAAAGACGGATAGGCATCCAATGGATATATGGATCATGAATGAATGAACAAGTGCATGGATGCCTTATAAATTCTGCCACAACAAGGTTAACCAATAAGCAAAGTCATGTTTAACAAAACAACTGGAATCAAGAAACAAATTTTAGCAATTAACAAGAGTTAAAAGTTAGACCCATCAAATGACATGAAATTTTCAAAATAGCATCAGAATGAAATAAGTGGAAAATAGGAATGCTTGGAAGAATACTGAAACATAAAAGTGCAAGGTAGAATGCCTCAAAAAAAATTAAGCAACAAAACGGCATTCACCAAGAATCAAGATCAAATTTAATCAAGCAATCAAAATAGAGAGACAAGAGTTAACCATGAAACAAGCAATAGAATTCAAAGATTAGGCCCACAAAAGAGATTTGAATAATGACAACTAGAACACGGATTCAAGAGCAGATATAACTAGGATGTCAAGATCTTAACTAACAGAATAATCAATAGTGGGGATCAGGATACTTAGAAGATTACTGTCTTCTAATTAAAAGGGCGAACAAAAATCAAAGCAGCCAGATATAAGAACCGTTTCTCTTAGAACAAAACTCTAGGGCATCAGATACTTCAAAGACTACCCCTTCACCTTATAGTCCATGGAGGCTAAGCAGATTTACAATCAAGTCATCCTAGACATCCTAGAGTCAAGTCACAGCTAAGACATCAAGGACACAGAGATTAACACTTGCAAGAGACACAATTAGAATGCCTCATATAAGTATTTTCTAATAATCATCACCCCTCCTAAAGAGGTGTCCATATGAACAAAATCAAAAATCAAGAAGATCAACAGGTATACTAAAACGAGAACTAGCAGAATGTGCAGGATTTGAACAAGAGCAGTATACAGAATTTGAGCAAGAGCAAGGGTCAGAACAAGAATGGTTTTCAAGGACAATTCAAAATAGATTCCAAGAACCAAATATCAATTGATTTTCAAGAAAAAAAATGATGCTAATATGACTTTACTCCAAGCAAGGTTCAAGATAAGATTCCAAGAACAGTGCAAGAATTAGTTTCAAACAAGTATCAAGATAATGAGGATTTCAATAATCATTATCCATTTCCTTTAGATTTCAGTTTCAAGAACGAATACAAAGCAATCCCAAGAAAGATTCAAGATGGATTTCAAGAGTTTCAAGCCGTTTCCAAGTATCAAGAATGTAGAGATTAGCAACAATAAAGAGTTTAACCTCATGACAACTTGCCAATCTTCACAAAACATGGCAATTACAATTGAATTGATCATTGTTTTTTATTAACCAATATAGAAAAATGAGCCACATGAAAAGACCATGAAGCTCCAAATGGAAAAAGTGAAACTTCACTATAAGATTTTCAAAAAGATAATGAGTAGCGAAATTACCAAGTTATCCAGCTCCTAAAACACATCTAGAAAACACAAAACATTTGCTAAAATAGCCTTGAATCTCTTACAAAGTAGAGGGTTGCCCATCTTCCACTAGTCATGTGACAAACAGAACAAATTTCTCAACCAGCTATGCTGTAGAGACCAACAGAATCAATAACAAAAGATCTCTGCAACTCCCCAAATTCTACAATTGTGGCAAAAGAGCATACAAAATTCTATTCAAGTAACAAGTCTAAACAAGTGCAGGCTATCAGAAAATGACCAAGTTTCAAAACAAGGTCTTAAGAACATGGCGGACAAGAATAATTTCATGAATCTACACAGGGTATGAAGGCGGGAAACAAGAACAATTAGATTACTATCTTATCAAAATGGATTAGAAAATTCAAGCAACATGAATCAGAATCATCCCTTATATAACCTCATCACTCGTCTCACCACGATTCTAAAATCCATTAGCTAGCCAAGTTCTAAACAAATCCTAGGTATTCAATTAAACCTAGGTATTTAATTAAACCTAAGCTTTGATACCACTAAATCTATCACGCCCCAGAACCCAAATCCGGGGACGCGACGACGCCGTGCACTCGTGAGAGGGTCCCACAAATGCATAAAGCTCGAAACTTATCCAATTCACATCTGACAATCCAATAACTTAAATAATATATTTCAAATTAATTCTATGTCCAACACTTAAGCTCAAAATCTAAAGGTAAAATCTATCTTACAAAAGCATGATTTATTTCTAAAATCTATATCAATCTCGAAATGGCTAGTCTTCTAACTCGCCACTTCTCGTGGTTTCCCTGTCCTCGATTTCACTTCTGGAAATGGTAGACAAGGAAAAACTATGAGATAAACTCAGTAAGTAAAATATAGAGTGCCCTTAATTAAACTTATAGCATACCAACAAGTGTAATCACGAAAAACAGTTATACTGCGGGAACGAAATAGATGTCTCCTCTATAGGTCATGGCCAATGTTATAAACCTCCCACTGGCAGGCTACACTATTTGCTGGTGTATAATCCCCACTAGTAGGGTCACTCATACGAACCAGTTCTATCAATAACATGTCGATATGTGCTAGCGTTTAACCCCCACTAGCAGGGTCA